ATGTGTATTAAAAAATTGTAAAAATTGATTTGTAGGAGAAAATTAGGATTGAGAGTTATGCAGCCGTAATTGTTAACTTTTGGTGAATAGTATTAACTTTTTAACTTTTTGAATAACTTTTTAACTTTTTGACTTTTTCTTATCTTCCCAGACTCGGTCTTAATATAGATTGATCCTAATTTTAAATAAATAATTAAAATAATTACATTTTAGCCCAGATTCTTAATATAATTATATAAATTAATTAATTTTTAATTAAATTATATTTTATCATATATCGACAGAAAATTAATTATTTATTTTACTATCACTCTCATTATTATTATTATTATTATTATTATTATTTATTTATTTATTTATTTACTCTTACTTTTATATTTATTTATTTACTATCTTTAACTTTAATATGGCCCAATTAGTATTATGATTCTATATTTCTGTTAATTTGACCCCAATAGCAATTCATAATTAATCCCATATTTAATAATCCAATGCTATTATTATTTATTTCATAATATATTATCACATACAACCGTAATACTAGTATAAAATTTAAGGGACAACTTAAATTTTCAGGTTGTTACACAACCTGTGCAATTCCTCAAAAAAAAAGAAAAAAGTATTACAGTCAATGACTTAAAAAAATATTACAATCACTGCATGCCTCATCCAAAGAAAAAAAGTTTGAAACTTTAGAATATTATAATCACTGCATACATCATCTACGTATTACAATCACAGTATGCCTCATCCACATAAAGTATTACAATCTGTGATTCTTAAAATATAAAAACAATTCAAACCACCAAAACTATGAACAGAGCAGTAGTAGAGATTGTATACCTTTGTATTGTTACATCTATATCTATTTTTGAAAACAAAAATCAACCAGCATATATCATCTTTTTTATATATTATTTTTAGAGTTAGATTTAAAACCAAAAAATATATTCAAGTCGAAAACTCTTTTTCAAAAGAATATTTAAACTCTTTTTCAATTGAAAACACAAACAGAATATTTAAACAAATTGAAAATATAAAATCTTACAAATTACTAGGAGTGCTCGCGGTTTGACGGTTCAGTTGCAGTCAAAGGAACCTCAAATTTGTCATCCATCCAAAACTATGTGAATTGCAAAAAATTAATCTGCAACCGTCCGCTCGTCATCACACATCCGTCTAAAATGCAGCGGAACGGTTCGATCAGTTTAGGCGGATCGGTATATCTGCTACTCACCCCTTAGCATTCATAACTACTTTTTTTATACTATAATAAAATCATTTGAATTATAATTAAAATAAATATCTGACATCATTAAAAACTATTTATTGACTTAATGATTTATTAACAAAATGAACTATTTGTTATGAAATTAAAAATTTTAAGAGACATAATGTAATTTCATAAACAACAGAAGATTATTTGTATTTTAAGCAAATCTCAAGAAATATATTTATAATTTATCCTGCTTTTTAATACTACAAATTTACGTGTCATGTGATTTTGAAGCTTTGAGTTTTTAATCTATATTTTTTTTGTTTTAGTGAATTTTTTTTAATATTGTAATCTAATTTTTTTCCTTTTATATCCATTTAATCTAGCTATATTTAAAAAATATAAAATTTGCACAAAAATCATAAATAATTCATTGAATATAACAAAATATAAAAATGTATAGAATTTTTATATTTTTTTTGTATTAAGTGAATTTTTGAAAGATTTTAACATAATATTCATACTTTTAAGTGTATTTAAGTGAATTTAAAAACTAAAAAAAATAATTAAGATATTAAAAGAACACTATTAAAAAATGAGTTAAAAACTCCAAATCAAACAAAAATTCTTCGTATGAGATAACTCAAGAGAAAAACAATAGGATAGCCGCCTTTGCAATGTCGTTTTTTTTAAGCAGAAAAATAAGTCAAAAAAGTAGGAAAATTGAGAGAAAATTTCCCAAAAAAAAAAAGTAACTCAGTTTGGCGTAATTTCTTTTAAGTTGAAATTTAATAATTATATATATATATTTCAATTTTCCCAAAGTTGTTATTTTTTTTTTTTTGAAAAAATCTTAGTATTTAGATTGCTTTTTTCTTATAAACGAAACTCAACCAAATATTTAACAGACTTTTAAAATTAAAAATAAATATATATTAGTAGTTAATACATGTAATGCGTGTAAATTAAATAAAAAAAAATAAAATAAAATAGGTAATATTTTTGATTGTAATCTCAAGTGGTAAGAATATTTCCTATCAAATTTGTAGTCTTAAATTCAAATATTGTTCCATTCTCTTCTCTATGTTTATTTATTTATTTATTTTTGAACACTTGACATAAACAAAGATAAAACTTAAAGAAATCAATTTAAGTGCTCTCACATATATAATAACTAGCGTATGTCCATGCGTAAAGGCACGATATAAATAATATTAAAATTAAAATATAGTTACAAAATTATATTTAACAGACTGTACTCTATAATTCCAAATAAATCAAATATAAAAAAAAATTAAATATCAAATAATGCACACCAGCCAGTGCTATGCAATTTAAAAGAAATTAAAATTAAAATACACACCAGTTAGTGCTACTGCTACCAATCAAATTATAATTATATAAGAAAAACAAACATTATATTATCATACACTAAAAGAGGGGGTTAAAACTTTATAAAAAAAAAATGGATTAAAGCTTTCCAGAATATGTATGTGTTAGACTTATTTATTTTGATGATTTATTTAATTATGTTTTAATTTATTTGAAAGAGAAAAATAGAATTCAAAATTTATTTTGTTGATTAATTTAATTATATTTTAATCAAAATTTATTTTGATAATTTATTTAAAAGAGAAAAATGGAATCAAAATTTATTTTGATGATTTATTTGAAAGAGAAAAATAGAATCAAAATTTATTTTGTCCCATTATTTCTCACCTAAACCTTTATCCTAAATATTGTTAGAATGTATTTAATATTTGATTAAATGAGGAGTTAAAATAGCCCAAAACAAAGGTTCAAACAGCCTAGCACAGCAGCAGGCCAAAAGGTTCAAAAGGTTCAAGTGGAAGATATTCAAATTAGTAATGATGGAAGTACAACAGCTATAAACGGCTATAAAGGTTCAAAAGGCCAAAAGGTTCAAAAGGTTCAAGTGGAAGATATTCAAATTGGTAATGATAAAAGTACAACGGTTATAAACGGCTATAAACTCAAATGACTACAACGACTATAAATGGCTATAAACGGCAATAAATTCAAATGAATACAACAGCTATAAACGACTATAATTTTCATTATATATACCAAAGCCTCTAATGTAAACAAGTTACAAAAAATTTGAAAATATTCTTTGATCTATAATCACTCACATCTATTCTCAGAAATTATACACTGAGCCTTATAGCATTAAACTCATTTTTCCTGTGTGAGATTTATAGAAAAATCAAAGCTTCTTTTTATATATATATATATACCTTTGAGAGATATTTATTATAAGCTTTCTTTGAAAGCAAAAATAACATTTCATCTTGTAAAAGTGTTGCAAAAAACACTGTGTTCTTGAAATCTTGAGAGTGATTGTGAATCACCTAAGATTTGCAAG